CCAAACCTAGCCTACCTGACAGAGCAGATCCTGGACGTACGCTGCACAGTTGGCATACCCATAATAATCGAAGTTACCCATTATTCGATAGTATTTTGCCATCAGCTCTTGGTCTCTGGCATAGTCACAGCAGCCGAAGTATTTATACATTTGACAGAACTGAAGTTCTTGTTGAGGCTGAAAGGGAGGTTTAAAGTCCAAACACTGCGGATGCAGGAACGCAGGTGCGATCCAAAACGCCAACAAATAAAACAAAATAAACGGCGATTGCCATATACGGCCGAAAACATCGCAAAAGTACCACATAGCGCTCAAATCCTGGCGCCCAACTTCAGATACATGGAAGTTAAAGTTATGCAATGGATACTCAGCGTGTGTCCTCACTGACTTATGTAGTCGTGCACTTTGCCCTGATTTTAATCATCAACCATTTCCAAACAAATTCACGGCTTATTTACTGTGTAGCGACTAAACAGGAATCGCAGATCGGTTGGACCTGTATCATACTAAACCATCTCCTCCATGTTTGAGTTACGAGACGTGTCTGACATCCTGAGCAGATGTGAGACAGACACACACAGGTCCAAACCGCAATTCTCCGACTGTAACTCATGTCTGCCATGTCTACGTGTGTTATGCTGGAGTTTACCATAGAAACGATTGAGAGAGAGAGAGAGAAAAAAAAAACCTAATTTCGACAGGTTTAAGATTTAGTTTAACCCGTTAAGCCGACATTTAGCTCATACTTAACATTTGAGTAGCCTACTGTATAATCTTAACACATGGCTTTTACTGATTTTAACAGAACGTCAAAACATGTTTCAAATGTGTTCTTGCTGGAGTGAAATGGAGCAAATCAACTTTCTGGAAAGTTTCTGCTTTTATAAAATTTGAATTATATTTGTGTATTGAGCTTTCATGTCAAGTCAGATTAACACTGACATATTTTAAGAGGAAAATAATAGATTAATTGAACAATTGTTGTTATTTTATACAGAAACCAAGCAGAAAGTCAGTCTCAGTAGAAAATGAGGATTAAAGTGTGAGCATTAGCTTTTAATGTGCGGAAACAAACCAACAAGCTTTGTTCCATCTGTTCTTGTTGTTATGCAATCATAGTTTACAGTAATATTTCTTGGATCCCCTCACTTTGTACTCATGTTCTATTGAAATAAACTTTATTTCCTTACTGTTTGGCGTATTTAAGTCTGCTATTGTTTTATGTGTAAAAATAAAATCTCAAAATCTTTTTGTCTGACCTAATTAAAAACCCAGTATAGTGAAACAGTTCTATGACTACTTATAACGTTTTCAGAAAGGTGATTAGGCTATTATCCAGGATAGTAACACTTTTGTTCTGTTCTGAGTCAGTGTGACCCCAAGTATGCAGAAAATACATAGCCTAAAGCCAATCTAGATGCGAAAGTTAATTGTATTTCATTTTTATATCTGAATGAGCATGCAAACATGAAGCTTCAGTCTTGCTTGTAATCAGTTCCTGTAATGATTAAGGGTTTTTAGGTCTCTGAATGACGTTTTAACCCCTGTATTGGAAACATTTCAGAAACAAAAATAGCCGTTAAGTAGCTGCATGTTGGTTAATGGCTGTTAATGTGCAGTGCGTCTGTTTCTACTTTATTTTTGTGATGAGATAATAGAATCAGATTATATAAGATAGTATTCCCATTTCTAAAGAATAGAGATAGGTGGTGATATTATGTGTTGGTGTCCACAGTTTATTTGTTGCATAGAATTGCAATGTGTAGTTTTGTGAAAGGTTTTCATTTTGAATGTTTTCTGCAGGCTCTTTGCAGTCTCTGGGTCAGTTCCAGCCATAATATTTGTTTTTGTAAGAGTCTCTCAGCAGTTCTTAAGCGATTCCAGCTGATTAATGAATGCCTGATATCATAATAATTACAGATGTGAGCGCTGAATAATGTTAGCCACAAGGTGGCGATGTGTTCACACAAGAATCCAAGTTCATTACTGACGCAGATTAAGTGGGACCTGCTTTTTAAAGGCTTAAGTGATTGCAGATCATTTGATATTTAAATTTACTCATGCATTCATTCACAATACAGGACGTATTAACATATGAATAGGCAATTTCCTGATGTTGCTGTATTCTTTAATATCCTCTGGAATGTTCATACTATAATGCTTCATTGTTTAAAAATAGGTCAAAAATGTTAACAGAAAGTTATTATTAACGAAATTAAGCCCCATTTGAATGCTTGCTGAAAGCTTGGTAGCTAATTTTGTAACCACATTCACATGGAAATTATGAACTGCTTTTGGAAGCAGAATAGGCCTATTACTGATTCCCTATTGGCTGAAACACGCCTACCACTCTTTTGCTTGTTTTCAACCCTATCATTTGTCATTCACACACCTCAAGTGGTGCAATCAAGCACTTGGTAGTGCTATAAATACCACTACATTATTAGTTTGACACTTAATGTGTCACTGATGCTGCCAGTGAATAGTTGTGCAATTCTTTTAAGCTTATTAAACTATTTGTAATCTTATCTGGATGAGGTAATGTGTTTCAATTAGGGGTACTGAAAAGCCCCTGGGCAAATGTCTTTTGAGACCCCCTATTCCATGTTGCCCCTAGCGACAGGGCCCTTATCTTACTTCAAACTACATGGGCAGTTTAGTATACAAAAATTGGAAAATGTGTTTTAGTAAGCTTACATTAGACATCTAAAATAGTAGCCAGTTGTTAGTGATTATCTTACATTGAATGCATCAAGGGGCCAAGGCAAGCACGGCGCCAGAAACTGAAACTCAGACCCGTGAGGGCCGATCTCCGTCTGACTGACAATGCAAGTCTTGTCTTGTTTATTCACGGCATATCTTATCTGGCGAATCGTTATACACTGTAAATTTGAATAAGCCTCTACTTATATCATAACTGATTATGGCAGGACATCTGACCTCAAACGAAGCATGTTTGAGCTACACTACCATTCACAAGTATTCTCTTCTGCTCACCAAGGCTGCATTTATTTGATCAAAAATACAGTAAAATATGAAAAATTCATGTGAAATGTGAATAATATACTATTTAAAATTTCTATTTTCTGTGAAAATATTTTCAAATATTATTGATTGTTGTGATGCGCAGCTGAATTTTCAGAATCATTACTCCGGTCTTCAGTGTCACATGATCTTCAGAAATCATTCATATATGCTGATTTTCTGCTCAAGAAACATTTCTGATTATTATCAATGTTGAAAACAGTTGTGCTGCCCAATATTTTTGTGAAACCCGTGATACATTTTTATTTTTCAGGATTCTTTGATGAATAGAAAGTTCAAAAGAATAGCATTTATTTGAAAGAGAAATCGTTTGTAACATTATAAATGTCTTTGCTGTCACTTTTAATTCATTTAATGCTTCCTTGCTGAATAAAAAGTATTAAGTTTTTAATTAACTTTTTAACAGTTGTGTACTTGTGTACATTCACACATGTACATACTAGATGATTTTAGTACAAAGTCAATACTAAATGTAAAAAAAATACATAAAAAAACTTTTTTAAATGACACTATATATATAGTTTATGTAATATAAATTCATATATAATATAATATATTGATAGATCAAACAAGTGAAAATCTGTTTTTTTTTTACACTAGTTTCATTTAGTTAATAAATAAAGTATATATTATTTACTATATTGAATATAATTTAATATGATATAATAAAATAGAATAGAATTTATTAACTGATTAAATAAGAGAAAACCACTCAATTTTTTTGTATTACTTCATTGAAAATGCAATTATTACTTGAAAATGCAAAATGTTTACTTAGTTGTGCAATACTTAAAAGCTTCATGCCATTGTTTTAATATATATTTTTTAAATGAATATTTACTAAAATATTAAATATCGATACAAAATAAATTAATTCAATATTAATATACAGGTATTCAGCGCATATCTGGTCAGTACAATAACACACAACAACATCACAGTCTCTATTATCATCAAAAAACAGTAAATCATATGATCAAATATAATAAATAGTCACGACATAAAAACTGAACTGGCTGTAGTGTAAATCTAGCGTGGGATGTGAGAGTTCATTGTTTGTACACCATACTCTTTAGCAAGAGTTTGAGTTTGAAAATGAGTTAAGCACTTTTGTATTAGAAGACGACTTTCAAAGTCCCGAAACTTTCAGCATGTAATGTTTCCTTCATAATTTTGTGGAAACCATGATACATTTTTTAATGATTCTTTGAAGAATATAAAGTTCAAAAGAACAGCATTTATTTGAAATAGAAATCTGTCTTTGATGTCTTTACTGTCACTTTTGATCAATTTCATGCAATTTTAAAGATTATTTGCACTCTACTGTTTAGCAAATGCACTTAGTGGAGTTTAAAAAATTGTGGGGTTTTTTTGTTGGTTTTTTTATTAGTAAACAATTTTCAAAGTCCCTAAACCAGGCACGGCGCCAGAATTTTTTCTCTACTGGTGCTAAGGGGGGGCTAGACCAATATGTGGGGGTGCTAAGAAAATAAATGATATTGATGACGTCAGAGTAAACCGGGGCTAAACCGGGGCTATTAAAAATTCTGACGGGGCTATAGCCCTCCCCCTAGCCCCGGTGTAGCGCCGTCACTGGGCCAAGGGCCCTAGTGGTCTGAGAGGCAGAAGGGGCCCTAATTAAATTCAGTTCTGTTTTCTTTCTTTCTTTCTTTCTTTCTTTCTTGTCTGTCTGACTGTCTGTCTGTCAATTTTCAGAAACAGCCAAACAAGTTCCTCAGTGTCAAAATACTGTTTTAGTGCAGTCTTTGTCTAATGTTATCCCAATGTTATATTCCTATTTTATTCACAATATATTTTCCATAATACAGTTTTTAAAGTATTTTATACACATTTTACCGTATACATACGTACCAGGACAAAAACGTGATATTTGAAAGCAGCTCTAAGGTGAATACTGAGTCGTCACACGCCCCCTATAGGAAGAGGTAGTGGCATTAGCAGGCAATGCAGCCAAAGCGTCGCGTACAGCGCTGACCTCACTGAACGCTGAGCTGAAGCGCAACTACAGGCGCATTTTCTCATCATTCATCTGCCTCAGCGGTTGTATGCGCGGCCGGAGAGTCACATCACTGGGCACAGTGTCAGAAAGAGGAGATTCCAGCTGAAATAAATATGAAATAACGATAGAAGCGGAATTTATATATAAGGTGGGTCAGCTACGTGAGTTTTTTCGTTGCAGAGTTCGGCTTTCGTCCTTCGAAAAACTGGATTAATTTTAATTATGAGTTTAATATTGCTCGCTACGTTTTCGCAAAGGAATGATTAAAAAATCGTGACAATATCTCTCACGTCAGACCACTTTTAACCACGGGAATATGGCAAAAAATATTATAGACGTCCCAAGGGATTATTTAAGTAAGATGTCGGATGAAGAACTGCCTAAATGTAGCAAAGAGGAGCTGCTTAGGAGACTCCGGAAAGTGGATAGTGAAAAGATTAACTTGATGGAGGAACACGGGAACATGATGAAGGACGTCAACCGGAGATTACAAGTGCATCTCCACGAAATACGGAGCTTGAAGGAGGTCAACCAGAAACTGCAAGAAGACAACCAGGAGCTTAGAGAACTGTGCTGTTTCTTGGATGATGATCGGCAGAAAGGGAAGAAGCTGTCCAGGGAATGGCAGAGATTTGGCAGGTACACTGCCAGTGTTATGTGGAAGGAGGTTGGTATGTTCCAGCAAAAACTGAAAGACCTAGAAACCAACCAGGAGAGTGTGACGAGAGAGAATGTGGAGCTGAAGGAGATCATCCTCATGTTAGATGATGAGAGGAATGGAGCCGGATCCAGGAGCTCCATAGACAGCCAATCCAGTCTGACCAATCTGAACGGTGGTTCTGCAACTGTGAGGGATGTTGGAGATGGGAGCAGTACCTCTAGCACGGGCAGTGCTGGAAGCCCTGATCACCACCACAGCCATATTCACAAACCTTCAGAGGGAAAGATAACGTCTATCAGGAGGTCTATGGATGATCTATCAACCAACCATCTTCTCAGAAGCATACCGAATGGGCTCAACGGTGAGTTTGGACTCTTGGATTAATGGTTTAGTTGAAAACATCCCACATTTCTCCAAAATGATGGTGTTTTAGCAGATCCTGTGCATGAAGAAAGTTTTTTTCCCCTGAAAGTAATACAAAAAAAGAAGTAAAAACAAACAAAACGAACTCTGTAAATCAAGAATTTGAAATAATGAAAGTAATTCATATTTCATGAGTAAACAATACTTTTCATAATGTCTTCTTTTCGGTTATCACTTTTGACAGATGACTTACAAAACATGCCTATAAAATACTTTTTCTGGTGCCCTTTTAACATTGAAAGTTTTATGCAATTGTGTGCATTGGCATCCAAATATAGAAAAGAATGCTCACCGTTTTGCCAGTGAGTAACAATCAGTGATTGAGACTTCCATTGGTTTCCAGGGAAACACTGATTATACAGGCAGTAGTGGCTTCAGGTTTTCTTTGTATATGTGACAGTATTAACACATGGTCAACACTAATTGCTTCAGCCCATGAAGTCAGGTCTGATGTGGGTTTAATACTCTCTTGGACTTGTGACGTTGGTGCACTGTGTTAGTTCTGTCAATACTTCAATACTTTATACTTCAGGTAACAGGCATTTCATGCACAAATGGATGAGAAACTCATTTGTGGTTGAAAATGATGTACATTGATCATTAGAAGGAGTCTGTAAGTTCTCCAGTCTTCAGTGTAACATTATCCTTCAGAAATCATTCTAATATTTTGACTTGGTGTTCAAGAAATACTATTATTGTTGAAAACAGTGCTGCTTAGTATTTTTGTGGAAACCGTGATACATTTGAATAAAATATTACTGAACGGTAGTGTGTAATTCAAATAATACATTTTTTTGTGGATAAAATACATGCATTGCTGTCAGTGTTTTAGTCAGAGGATATTACAAAGATTTTTCCTTTCTGTTTTTGACTTTCTGTTCTGTCTTAATGCCACTAACCTGTAACTCTATAGAGGGTGTGTATCTGTCACAAGTGCCTGAAGGTGCTATTACGTCATGTACTTTGTGTGTTTACTTTTGATTTGCATGGACTGTCTGATACCAAATGATCTGACATCATAGCGTGACATTTGGCTGTACGGTTATATAGCTGTACTGGTTACGTTGTTTTAAGTTTTATCCTTTGAATCACATGTCCCAGTGCAGCTTGGCTTATTCCTTTTAATTCACGGCTACTTATATATTGCCTTCCCCTGTTCAGCCTCTCAGTGAGTTGTACTGTATTTGTATAATTTGTATAAGTTGTGTATATTTGTATAATTTTCAAGTTTAGCAGATGTTTATATCTTAAATGACTTACTAATGAGGAATGCTACCATGTAATTTAATACAAAGTTTCAAAATCTCTCTGGTAGGTACAAGCTATGTGTTATGTGCATATCTTGCCTGTATATTTTTGGTATAAAAGAAGAATAGAATCTGTGCATCTGCTAAGAACATGAATGTGTTGCAATAAAAGTGCACATTAGACACATTCACTCAGTAGGCCAGGTCTATTCCATCAGCAAGATTCACTCAAGTCTAACAATAGGGTTCTTAAAGGGATAGTTCACCCAAAAATGAAAATTTTATGTTTATCTGCTTACCCCCAGGGCATCCAAGATGTAGGTGACTTTGTTTCTTCAGCAGAACACATATGATGATTTTTAACACAAACCGTTGCAGTCTATCAGTCGTATAATGCATGGCAATGGTAACAAAATCTATGAGAGTAAAAAAAAACATGCACAGACAAATCCAAATGAAACCCTGCGGCTCGTGACGACACATTGATGTCCTAAGACACGAAACGATCGGTTTGTGCCAGAAACCGAACAGTATTTATATCATTTTTTACCTCTAATACACCACTATGTCCAACTGTCTTTGGGCGCGCGCACGGCATCCGGTGCGTGAGGTGTGTACGCGCTCTGGCGTAGTTTACGTTAATGGGTGTGTTGATATCCAGCCGAAGAGCAATCAACCATAACTTGGTTATAACTTGGCGAGGAGGCTCAGAAGTTGGGAATACGTGGAAAGTCCATTGCCATGCATTATACGACTGATAGACTGCAAAGGTTAAAGTTAAAAATCATCATATGTGTTCTACTGAAGAAACAAAGTCACCTACATCTTGGATGCCCTGGGGGTAAGCAGATAAACATCAAATTTTCATTTTTGGGTGAACTATCCCTTTAACTTGTTCCCGCCACATGACAGGGGATTGATGACAAGCTTACCTCTAGTGCGGCACGTAGCTGTAGCAGAAAAATGTCTGTTATTTACTGCTGATAGTGTCAGCTGGAAGAGCCTGGCATTGATAAGAATGCCTTTTTTATGGTGTTTTAGACATTCTCAAAAGTGTTTTTGATGTGAGTAGATATTCGGAATGATTTTTATATAAAAATTATATTTTTGATTATTCAGTGTTATAGAACATTGGGTTTCTTGCTTCTGCTATTTATTTCAGACTTTCATATACTGTTAGACAGAGACCTTTGCTTGCACTTGTCTTTAGATGCCCGTCATCTGACCAACGCCTACCAGGCTGTTTTCATCTGATTATTCAGTGATCCTTAGTTTGTCTGCCAAGCTACAACTCCACCCCCAACCTTTCTCCCATTATGACATGCCATACACTCTTAAAAATAAAGGTGCTTAAAAGGTTCTTCACAGCGATGCCATAGAAGAACCATTTTTGGTTCTACAATGAACCATTTAGTCAAAGGTTATTTAAAGAAGCATCTCTTTCTTACCTTCATACACTCTCAGAAAAAAAGGTACAAAAGTTGTCACTGGGGCGGTACCATTTCAAAAGGCACACCTTTGTACCTAAAGAGTCCATATTGGTACCTAAAGTGTACATATTAGTACCAAAAAGGTACAAAAGTGTACCTTTTGAAAAGGTACTGCCCCAGTGACAGTGTTTGTACCTTTTTTTCTGAGAGTGTATGATCTGAAGAACCTTCTTTCACCACAAAGAAGCTTTTGTGAAACAGAAAGGTTCTTCAGATGTTAAAGGTTCTTTATGGAACCATTTAGACAAAAAAGGTTCTTCTATGGCATCGTGAAGCACCTATATTTTTAAGAGTGTAGCATCCATGCTGTCAGGCACATGTATGGAGCACAAGTCATTTAAAGAAAATCCAAAAAGGCTAATCTGTCTAGTGTTAGTATGCAGTTTACTTGAGAATTTATGGAAGCCTGTTTCCACTTCAGAGTGAAAAATATGACTGTTTATCTCATAATATGACTTGCATATAGCCTCTATTTTGTCTGTCATACAAGTGACTTGCTTTTCCATATGATTTGAATTGTCATTATCTTGATTGATTTATTGTTGCACGCACATTCCATAAATGAGTTTGCAAAGCAACCCCTAAGATTAGGGTTTAAATCCACAATTTAATCATTTTAATAATAATTAGTGTTTTTGTAAGCTTTAAAACTACTCAGAAAACAGCAACCACATAGCAACAACCTGCATCATGTTGGCAAGTGCATAGACAAGCAGAATTTAGTTTTCTTTAGAAAATGTTTAGAAATGTTGAAACCCTGTTTTCCTTTGTAATATAGTCAATGGGGAACTGCAGTGCATTCTTAGAACTATAGTAGCGTTGTATTTAAGCTTGTGTTCAGTCATGGAGGGAGATTAGGCTGGCCGGCGTTCTCTTTCCCAGGCTTCACCCCCTGATGAGTTAATCTGAGCCACAGGTTGCGTCTCTCCTTGTTTACAAAACTCAAAACAACCAACTTGGACTGCCAACCAACCAGAAGAACATTCCTGCTCCCCATACCACATAGATAGAACTTGAAGAATTCCTATTCTTTCTTACGTGACTTGCATCAAAACCTGTGTGAAACTTTTAAAAAATAATTTTTTAGTGCAACATCTGTTCACCCAACTTTCTTCTGTGGAACATAATAGAAGGTGTTTTGAACAATGTTGGTAACCAAACAGTTTTGGTTTCCATTGGGGAAAAAACTGGGACATTTCTCAAAATATATTCTGTTATGTTAACGCTAAGGAAGTCATACAGGTTTGGAGAAACATAATGGTAAGTAGGCTAAATAATGACAGAATTTTTACTTTTGGTTGAACTGTCCCTTTAAGTGTAATATTACATTTTTACAATCATTTTATGGATACACCATCCTGAGACCTGACTTTGAGGTCATGTATCTGTCTCTTGGGTGAAAGTGGTTCTGTCCTGCATTGAAAAGCCTCTGGCCCCCCAGCAAGCCACCAATGGACTGAAGGTTTAGTGGCTGGGGTCGAGATTCTGTTTCAGAGTTCAGATAACACTCCTCCTTGACTCTTCCCACGGCTGGAGTGAAAAGGCCTTCAGTTGACCCCATTTAAGACCCTCCATCAGGCCTTTAGAGCCCTTCTGCGCCACTCAAAGGTACAGATGTCTGGCTTGTCATAAAACCGATCCCAATTTACGAGTGAAGCTTTCAGTCTAGAGGTCACCTCTTTGAAAAAGCCACGGGGTTTCTTGTGTTTTGATTGTTTTGAATTGGATTTAGAATGATTGTCTTAGTATTCATTGACATTTCAGTTAGCTGGATAGCTTATAGTTTTTTACCAATGATGGGAACTCATGAATTCCCTCAAGTAATCTGTGAGATAATTCAATTGTTCTCCTGGGAATGCCAAATACTGGATTACACGGCTGCGCTTTTTAATTCCCCATGTCAGTTCTTGTTTAGTCATGCTTTCAGGTGGTAACCAAACAGTAAAGATCAAAGCGATACTAGTTAAAAGGTGTTTTTTTGCATCAGACCCAGTGGCAACTCGAGTGATTCTGCAAATGTGCATCCTGGTTGAGGACGTCTTGAGCTGTTGATGCAAGGCATTGTTCTTTTAAAAACAAACAGTGATGGAAAGCACCTCCCCAACTGCTCAGACTTGTCGGAGGGGGTCTTTGGTTCTGCTGAATCTGAAGTTTACCGTGTTATTGCTTGTTCCCTGCAGCTTGTCTTTGCCTCATAAAGA